CTATACAAAGCATAGCCCTTTATTTGAAGGACTGTCCAATCCAAGTCCAGTTTAAAGGCAAGGAAACCTAAGAAGGGAGCAGCAAGGCCTTGAATTCGCCCATCAGCAGTGAGTCCCTGGAGAGCAGACTGAGCAGGCAGGCCACCCAGTCACACTCTTCCCCACTACAGTGAGGCCTATTCATTGTATTACAATGCAGCATATTTCTATTTAAACTATCGTGATTTCTAAATATGCGTGGATATATTTATTTATTTATTTATTATTTCTTTTTCAATTTATAGCCTGCCTTTTTCCTACAAAGGGCTCAAGGCAGCTTACATCATCTCTCCTCCTCCATCTTACCCCCACAACAACAACCCTGTGAGGTAGGTTGGGCTGAGAGTCTGTGACTGGCCCAAAGTCACCAGGTTGGCTCCATGGCTGAGCGGGGACTAGAACCCAGATCGTCTGAGTCCCAGTCCCATGCTCTTCACCACTACACCACACTGGCTCTCCACATATAAATTAGCATCTACAATTTTTACATAGTCCTATGCCCTCTCATATCTTCTTTTTTGCCAGCGTGTCCCTCTTTTTAGAGGACAACTTGACTTCCATCTCATCTTTTCTTTTCTCCATACTCTGCAGCAAAAGAAGGAAGCAAAGCCGGAAGCCAGAGTGGGATGTGCCTGTGTGCCCACAGTGACATGATGGGGGGAACTGCTGGCACTTTTTATTCTTCCCTCGATGTTCCTCCCTCTCCCTCCTGGCTTTCCAGTCCTCACGGTTTTTGGAAGCAATGCATTTTCTCAGCAACAATATCTTTTCCCAATAATAGATTGTGAACCAGTTTGATCTTTAATGGGCTCAGTTTTTAGATTCCCTTTGGGAGGTGGGAGGGATAGCTGTAGGACTGTCACAATGCATGCCTGCTCTTCAAACTTTATCACTACATTGTGTGTGTGTGTGTGTGTGTGTGTGTGTGTGTGTGTGAGAGAGAGAGAGAGAGAGAGAGAGAGAGAGAGAGAGAGAGAGAGAGAGAGAGACTAGGTGGAAGTAATAGGAAGGAACAGGAGCATGGAGATTTTTTTTCTCCAATATTTGGAGCTCAATATTTGCCTCCAAGCACATGGTCACTATTTGCATGAAACAGGTAGAAGAGCAGATTAAATAGGAAGGTTTCTGAAGTACTGCCCAATATACTATAATTATCCTAAGGGGTCTTAATGAGCAAATGTCCCCACAGGAGACAAGAGTAGCAAAGGAGCCCCTTATTCAGAAGGAGACTGAAAATGTGCAGCTGCAGCACTACAGCAGTAGTGGGGAATCCCAGGCCTGGGGACAAATCAGTCTCTAGGGGTTGTCCCAGAGGATCCCTTCTTCTGACTCTACCACTTCTCCTCAGCTACTGATCATGTGGTGACCTCCTAAGTTTTGTGCAGCTTTTCTTCCATCCTAAAAACTTAAAATGCTTCTTCTAAGATTTAGTTACTGGCCGTAAGAGCTATAGGCAAGAATAGTTGCGGGGGGGGGGGGTAATTTGTCCCTGCTCCCCTTTCCTTCAGTCCCACCCACCACTGGATTGCTTCTCCCACCCTCACGTATGGAGTTTATCCTTTGGATCAAAGAGGTCACCCACCCTGTGGTATACTGAGGGCTTTGGAGAAGAAATGTAGTTTGGAAAAGGGAGTGAATACAAAGTGGTCCCCCAGTACAGAGCTGTATCATAGAAGATGCAGAAAAGGTAACATTTATAAAAGGTATTTCTTGTGTGAAGTGAAGAAACTGAGAATAAAGAAATAAAGGAAGGTCAGAGATGTTAGATTTAATTAGTGCATCTGATTCCCACAACAGGATGATAGGCGGGCATTTCTTTCTTGACTATTTAAAAAGATATCAAATATATGCTTCTATTTTGTGCTCATTATACAGCTTGCCTTATAATATGTGCAGGCTTTCACAAATGTTTCTGTTGTTATCTGCTCAGTAAATCCCCTTTCCAAAACTAGAAGACTTTTTATTCCCAGCCGAAGCAGCCCTTCAATTTTTTTACCTCCTAAAAAGAGAAAGGCAGCCCATCTGTCTAACAAATCTGTCATTTCCTTCTTTCCATGCTTCTCATTCCCCTAATGTCATTTTTAGTCAACCACTTGCACAGACTGCTTATTGAAATTTTAATAGCTCATGCAGTCTCCATCAATATTCCATTGTGTATCTTTAGAATGTTCCATCCAATTTAGTTTGTCCCCAATCATGGTCAGATCTCAGCTGGAACTGGAGGCTGTGTAGGTGCTCCATTTGGGTTGGATTCCCATCTGCAACCAATCCATGTTCATGCCAGATTAGCAGTCTTGTCATATAGTTACTCATGCAACCTTGTCCTTGTCTGTCAGCTCAAAGGTAAACCCCACTGAGTTCATTAGGACTTACTCCCAGGTAACGAAATCCACAAAAGACTCAGAGGAGAACTCCCTGGCCCTAGAATGCTGTCCTCTCAGACAACAGAGGGGAGATGGAAGAGCATCTCACAGCTGAACTGCAAGACCACCTCTAAGTCAGCCTCTCTTCTACTTTGCCTTTTCCTAATTGAGGGAACCAAGCTTGCCCTGGGCTTGAATTGACACCCCAAGGACCCACTGCTCAACAGGTTGCTAAGAGGGCCTGACTTGTCCCTCATACTCCCCAACAGTGAAGCCAGGTGCAGACTGAGCCACTGCTTTGAGTGGCTGCTTGGCCCCCTCCTTCCTTCTCCTGACTGGAAAAGAAAAAGAGGGCACAAGCCCATTCTGAGCTGAGCCAGTGGCTCTTAAGGGCTCCTTAAGCCAGAGGCTCAGCTGTGCATTGACTTGGGCCTACTCTGGTCCATGGCCAACCAACATAGATCAGCTGAAGCTTTCATCCCCACGGTAGTTTAAGTCTGCCCATCTAGCATGCTGCAGTGGAGATGAAATTTCCCCCCTCAGCTGTTCTGCATGATTCCTGATGAGGGTGGGCTTCAGAAATATCCTCCTGTTCAGCTGCTCAGTTGGATTACAACTCTCAGCATTACAGACCATTGGCCATGCTGGGCAGGGCTGATGGAAATGTGAGGACAAATTTGGAGGCTCATGTTCCTCTTATGGAGGGCAGGAAGAACAGTGGAGGTGGTATTTGCCTCCTCATCTTCCCATACTACATTTTTGCTAGACATTGCCTTTTGCTTATCTCGCTGGAGCATTTTAGAGGGAAACAGAAGGAGGGTGAAAATGTCTCAGGGAAGCTTACTTATTCATTTTATATACTTGCTTTTTTCTTACAATAAACTCGAAGTGACTTACATCATTCTCCTCCTCCTCCTCCTCTCAATCTTATCCCCACAACAAGAAACCTGTGAGGTGGGTTGGGCTGAGAGTCTGTGACTGGTCCAAAGCTGACTCCATGACTGAGCAGGGACTAGATCTCACACGCTTAATGACTACACAACATTGGTTCTATATCCAGGCTTCTCCAATCAACTACCTGCCCTGCACACCAGAATAGCCCCTTTCCCAACACTCTGAGGTTGCTTTCCCAACCTTGGAGTCAGATACTTGATTCTGAGAATTCAAGATGTTCTATGACACTTCAAATGATTTATTATTTTGGTCTACACTGTTTGTATATTGATTCTATTGAGACAGATTCCACAGCAGTAAACAATACAATATAAAATAAATAAAATAATATAAATAATGCATTAAAAACAGAATACCCTTAAGGCCATTGTTGGTAAACAAGGAAGGTTTCCTAGAACAAAGGCAGCTTCAGCAGGTATTGAAAACAACATGGTGTCAGAGCCTGCCTGTCTAGACTCCATAGGATTGTACCCTCCATGACTAAAACAGTTGGAGAAGCTGTTCAGAAGCTGTTTAGAACATGCTTCCATCATCCTTGGGGAAGCATGTTCTAAAGGAATAGGACCTAGGAGTTTCTTATTTGGGGAACGAAGAATGTACATCATGTGTTTCCACATAAGGCCTTTATCTGCAACTTTCCTAACTCAAACATGGAATTTTATTGGGGTATGTGTGTGGGGAGGGGATCCAGAAAAAGCCATCTTCCATTTGTAACATATCCTTCTTTTCCCACTTATTTCCCTGTCTTTCTCCTTCCTGGTCAAAACATTTGGAGTGTACCATTTTGGGGAATAGTGGCTTACAGACTTGTGAGGATTATAATGGCATAATGTCTATGAAGGACTTTGGACATTTGAAATATTTAATAACATTAACTATTATCACTACAAAGAAAATAATAGAGTGAGGGAGTGAAAATGGAAGTCAGCTTTGTTTGTCCATCAGACTCCCTGAAGGCTTTGGCTTATGTTTTCAGGTGCAAAAGTCCTTGCCACTAAACAATGCTCATATTGTCAGTCAAAGTTACTTTGTTTTGAACTTTGCAGCTTTAGTCTCATTTCTTTCACTGTTCCTTTCCTTTAGAACTTTCCTTCTCCCATATTCTCTTCCTTCTCCCACGCCTTCCTACCTTACCCCATGTCACATAACTTCTCATGTGCATCATGGGAATTGTGCAATCAGCTATGAGACACCAGCCTCCTCCTCCTTCCTCTTCCCATGTCTATCTCTTGTAAGCCACTCTCTGCTCCCTCTCCATCTGACAGGGTAACACCAGGACCCTGTGGGAAATCTTTTCTATTTTGCAATCTGAAATCTCCCAGTACTTTACAAGAACTGCATCACCCCATATGATGCAGATATGTGGATTTGTTCAACATGTAAATCTCTTCAAATAAAACTCAGATTCCCCCAGCATATTAGGCTTCATCCTACCTTAAATGTTTCTTAAGACTCACACACTATAACAACCCATTAAGTTCTCTTACAAAGCCTAAAATTCTTTAGACATCTATTCTCCAGAATTAATACCCTATACAAGTACATTTTTATAGCATAATTGCATATGTATGTGGACTATCATAAAGTTCAGTGGTATGCATATATTATTGATGGTAATGAAGAAATATAGTTCACAATAAAGACCTGAATATTAAATAAAGCCAGAGTCACCTGGAGCTGCTTTTCTAGATCTGGAAAAGCCAAAGGAAAAGCATTCTCAGGGGGAGCATCATCTGAAATGGAAACAATTGTGAAGTTTACACATTTGTAAAGAAGTCATCCACATCATCAGCTGATATAAAATGTAGAATAAAACTCTGTGCCCTTAATTCCTCATCTTTTTTGTTGTTGTTTGTTGTCTTATTTGAAGACACTGCATTCCAGGTGCCCATTATTTTTTCAAGATAAAAATGATCAAAAAGTAGTCTTTGATGATACCTAACTAATGCAGAATAAAAATGATTATTACCTTCAAATTGAAAATAAAAGCAAAAGCTGCCCATGCCAAAGTGCCTTCTTGAGATTTGTGAATATACTCCAGCCTTCCGCAACCTCATGCTTTCCATATCTGGGGGTGACGATAGTTGGCACATCAGGAGGGCACCAGATTGGAAATGCTGATCTACCCACTAATATTATTAAGTTGGAAACTCTATCTACTCCACCTCCACTCAATATAAAATATCAGGGTTCATAAAAAATAAAAATAAAATGTATTTAATATCCCACCCTTCCACAAAAAATGGCACTTGAGGTGGCTAACAATAACAAATAACAGCTTAAAAACAAAATTTTAATTAGAGCGTAAAACAAGTTAAAAGCACAAGATAAAAACATAAGCGTAAAAGGAATGAACAGCACCCAAGCAACTAAAAGTCCCTTTAGGTACTTGCCAGTTAAGATGAGAAAGGCTTTCTTAATAAAAGCATGTTTGCCTGCCAGGAGAAAGACAACAGGGGAGGGACTAGCCTAGCCTTCTTCAACAGAGCTTTCCCGAGCTAGGAAGCAGTTACTGAAAAGGCTTTCTCCCAGGTCACCAGTACACATGCCTGTTGTGCAAGTGCAAATCAGACAGCAGCCTCCACAAAGAGCTTAAAACTCAGGCACTTTCATGTGGGAGAAGGTAGCCGAGTCCAAGATGTAGATCATAAACAGCACTTTGAATTTCGACTGGTAGCCAGTGAAAGTGTGGTAACAAGAAAGTCACATGCTCCTTGTAATCAATCTTGATCAGCAGTTAGGCTGCAGGATTTCTGGAGCATCCCAGCCCCAACCCCAACCCGAAGTATCCAAACTATTTTAAAAAGCAGCCCGATATGGTGTGATACAGTATTCCAAACTGGATGTAACTAATGCATACATGCCTATACCAGATTAGACTTCGCTGTGTGCAGGTACAGGTGCAGTTGGACTAGCCTCAGCACTGCTAATGCACTTTGGACTACCTCCAAACCTGGGCTTTTAGGTTCCATGCTGCATCTAGGCTACATCCACACAGAACCTGAGTCTTCAGGGAAGTGAAACCCCATCCAGCACCTAACTGACTCCCTATTCCCTAATCTGCATTTAGACTAATTCAGAGTGCTTTTGTCTGGATTAAGCTTCAAACATTTGCCCTCAGCAAGCCCTTCACTTACATCAGGCATCAGTTTGGAACCAGGAAGAGGAGGAACAGAGTGGGTGTCCTGGTGGCAAAAGACCCTCAGACTGTATAATCTTTTCCAGTGGCTTCATGCTCATGTTACATAGCATGGGGGATAAAATGGGATGAGGGATAAATGTGCACCACAGGTCCACAGCCACAACAAACAGAAATCCCTCAGCGCCACCTTCTGAGATCACACCTCTCAGAAAGACCAGAGCTGCTGTATAACTGTGCCCTGTCTCAGTACCTGAACAATACCAAGGATACCATGACTGATAGTATCAAGAGGTCCAGGAGAATCCACAGGGATGGGCAACTCCCATTCATTTCCCAGTGCAGCACATCCACCAAAGTAACCAGGCCAGAATCCAGATTGAAATGGATCTGGATTACCACCTCATTCTTTGCTGTTTGCCCAAGGAGGGAATATTGGAAACATGCCAGAAATTATCCAAAATAGTGGGGTTCGCAGAAGTGTTTTATTTTTGCAGAAATCCCACCATGGAATCACACTTTGCCATAGGGAAGCACTTACCACTACTCTTACCCACTTAACCAGCTTCCCTACGCTTTTATAAGCCAGGAAGGTCAACGGCCCAGCATACAGGTGGCAGGCTTCACCTCCCAAATCATTCTAGGGATAAGTCACTTGCTAGAGACAACTCGAAGCAGGAATAAGTCTTTTGAGTCCATAGCTTAATAGTGTCAAATAGCAGAAATCTCTGCTGAGTAGAAATCTCTGCATCAAAGAAAGGCATGGCTGGGCACCTTCCACAGAGCCACTGACAAGAGCCCTCTGAGGATGACTCTTTCCTCTGCTGCAGTTTTTGTTCACCACCTCTTGCTTTGGCCCAGATCCCCATGGAACAGAAGCTGAGGAGCAACAGATACCACTGTCTACTTGTTCACTAGCTTGTTACTTATTCAAGCAAACAAGTGGTAGCAATGATGCAAAAGAGGATGAAGAGCAAGAACTGCTGGCCAGAATGGCCATGAGAAGGTGGATTCATTGAGGGCATTTTGCTCAAGGCCTCTCAAAACCTGTAATCAGTGCTCTCTGGGCTTCAGCCTTAGCTGCCTAAGTGAGTTTGCAGCTCGTCATTGTAGGGAGATTCTCCTGTCTGTCAACATGGGATACATTCACGCCACAGCAGTACTTCTATTGTACTTATTGAAATACATGTAAATGGAGGCCACCAGAGTCTTTCCTGATTACCACTCACATATATTTCAAAGGGACAATGGGCTAAAAATAGGCATGTGCACAGTTCATACCCGAACATACAGCACATGTGTTTTCCTCCCTGGAATCATGTCAATGTACCAAAAAAGCCTTGTCTGAAGTATCCTAAGAACTTCAGGGAGGACCATCAAAGGCTGCTATAGCAAGAGGTCAAGAATGAACAGTTGGGCGGTGGCAACATCCTCCTCCTTTCCTCCCTGGAATGAGAATGGAATGGCCAGATCCCTGGCTGGTTGCCACATGGCAGCACAAGACAAAGAGAAAACCTTCACTGGGTTCAATGTAGACTGCAGGATTTCTTCCTCCTCCTTCTGGTTTGATCTACATCTCCCTGGCTTGTTTTATGTGAAGGAATCAACTCGCTTGTTAATATCACAGTATAATATATCCATTGTTTCTTTAACTTCCCAAAAAATAAAGCTAAGTATAGCTTGAGATCTTTTTTCTTAAGTAAGCAAATGCCTCATGTTTACGTTTGCTTGATCTTCTCTAGCTTAGAGTATCATAAAATCATCTCTTTTTGAGAACAAGTGGAATACAGGAAATTGCCTTATATCAGGTCATCTGGGTCTATCCTGGATGCTCCAGTTGGCACCCACTCTCTCTTTCCTATCAAAATTTACTTGACCCTTTTCACTGGGGATACCAACCATCAAACCTGGAGCCTTCTTAACTATGCAAAGCATGTGTTCTGTCACTGAGCTATAATTACATTATTGATATCAGGAATATGGTGAGATACGCAGATATAAAATATATCATCATTAGAGCAAACTGTGCTAGTTTAGAGCAAAGTTAATTGGAAAAGGTATCCAAACTTTTGAGGGTACATTTAGTTGTGGGTACATTTAGTTGCGTTTGCTCTCACAAAATTGTTGGCACTCACAACTCCCCCTTGCTCCCCACGACCCTTTCAAAACCTCCAGGACTCCTCCAGCTTCAGCTTTTCTGAGTAGGCTGCAAAACACAGCACTGAACTGTAGTTGCTCACCAATATTATATTCTAAGAACACTTCTGGGTCATTTCTCCCCTTATCTGTGTGCTGGAAGGGAAGGGGGACATGCTACTTCACTACTATGCAAAGAATAACACTTCATTAATTTTGGAGCAGCAGAACCCATGCACTGATTTTCTTGGTATTTCAACTCATTTGTTAATTGCTGTATTACGCAATATGGGTAGAATAAATTAATGTCTTCTGAAAAACAAAACTTGGCTGGAAAGGAGATTGACATTCACAGGTAAAGGTGAATGAGACTTGGAGTTTATAATGATGATGATTTAATTGACACCTCTCTCCCTCCCTCCCTCTCTCTCTCTCTCTCTCAGAAGAAGGAGAAATAATGATTGTGTTCACAAAACACAACAACTGCTTGTGAGTTGTTACCTATGATGCATTGTTACATCATTGGAACTCAGACCAATCTGTACAGTCTGGTTTGTTCAAGGGCAACAACCCATAGCATATAAGTGGGGTTCTTGAGCCCGCAATGAGTTGACATGCCATCCAGATCTGGGTGACTGGCCCCACTGTGGGATCTTGGGAATTTTGCAGTGAGACACGTGGCAAGAGAGGTAACCACCCCCCCACCCCCCGCCCTTGATGCTCTTGCCTTGCTTGCCTGAACACTCACCATTCACCCCAGAAATGTCTAAATGGCATAAGGATCTGGGTGGCCCTGGCTTGTTGCCCTTCCTGTGGCAACTGTGGGCTGATTTTGGCTTGCAGCAGCTTTTTGCCCTTTTACCTCTTTTTTCCTCCCTGGAAGTCCAACTTGACAGCCAGCTTTTGCAATCTCCACTTTGACAGCCACTGATGGCCCACTCAGAGTTCCCTAGCACCACCTCAAAAAGGCTGCCTGTGAGTGACAAACATTAATAGTATGTACAAATATGCTTAAAATTAATGTATTTTTATATTCTTATTTTTATTTTTAGTTACCCTTAGGTACTTTGAATCAGCAGTCAGTAGCTGTCAAAATGGAGATTACAAAAGGTGGCTTTTAAGGCTGACTTTGTGATCTCTAAAAAAGATAGGAGGGTAAAGGGAGCTACGGCAAGTTGCAGCTGGCTCATAATCATGGCAGAGAAAAGAGATTCAAACTGATCCTGCCGCAGGGCTCCCTGGGATACCCACAGAAAGCCCAAGTGAGAAGTAGGGTGAGGATAGGGATCAACAGTTTATGGTGAACCCAATCATCTGTCTAGAGTAACATGGATTGCTTGCACAATAGCCAAGCTATTCTGGCTTATTGCTAGAGCAGGCTGTCATGATGGGCAATCGTGTACAACTTTCAGTAGAATCAAAACATGCAAATATACATAATTATACAAACATGATCAAGTTGTCAACTAAATTAAAGCACCCTCCCCTCAAGAAAACAACACAAAGCAAAATTCAATACAGGTCATCTTGGTCTTATTTGAAGCTAAGATTCTTTCCGAAAACCTGCAGCAAATAGTACTAAAATCCATTAAGAGGAAGCTGTGCTCTGACATTTTAACTTTAGTAGGCCAAACTATTTTTATGCAGGAAAAAAATCAGTAGGCCTGCTATTATTATACAGATTTTCTCATTTTGCATAGACTCAGGAAGAATTAGACCTTAAATGACCTGCACTTGCTGATAGGTGAAAGTTATTCTTACGTTGCTTGCAACACATTTGGTGGCGGGGGGGGGGGGATTTCAACCAGAACAAAGGTTTTGTAGATTTAGCATCTTTCCTGCCTGAGGCACATTCTACTGGGGTCAAAAATGACCCCACAATGCAACTAGTGCTAGGTTTTTTGTGAGGGGATAAGAGTCAAAGAAATGTCTGTTTTGGCCCTGAACTATGCAAAAAGTCTATTTGAGCAGAGCTGGCTCCTCACTGTAGATATATAGTTGTCAATGTACAGAGGGACACACAGTGAGTCATAGGAAAGTAATAGAGAAGGTGGAGCCAGTGGGCTGCCTTTGCCCTTCCCTACATCATTCATACCACATTGGCTGAAATTCTGAATATAGTTCAAGAGACTTTGCACAGAAGGCAAAATGTCTCCAGGTGTGAGTTTTCCCTCTAGTGAATTGCTGTGAAACAGAACAAAGCTGGTGGAATGTTGTTTTGTGTAGGAGTCTTTAAGTTACAGGGTTTCTCAAAGTCTGAAATTAGCATTTTAATTGGGCATCAGGCCTGGATTTGGAACAGAAACCACCTTGGTTGCCCTGTGGGATGACCACTGCTGGGAGAGAGTCAGGGAAGCATGACCTGTTGATTCTCCTGGACCTCTTAGCAGCTTTTGATACCATCAACCATGGTATCTTTCTGGAGAAGTTGGCCAGATTGTGAGTTGGGGGTACTGCTCTGCAATGGTTCCACTCCTACCAGACCAACTTTCTCCAGATGGTGGTGCTGTGCCATGGCTGTGTGTTATGAGGTTCTGCAGGGCTCTAATCTGTCCCCCATGCTCTTTATCATCTACACGAAACCACTGGGGGAGGTCATCCAGAGGTTTGGGCTAAAGTATCATCAATATGCTGATGACACTCAGCTCTACCTCCCATTTTCATCCAGTCCAGTTGAGCACTATTTTTAACTAGTGCCTGACCTCCATAATGGACTGGATGTGGGCCAATAAGCTGAAACACAATCCAGATAAGATGGAGGTTCTGTTAGTGGACCGTCCATCTGTCCAACTGGGGAACTTTCAGCCTATCCTGGATAGGATCCTACTCCTCCTAAGGAGGAGCAGCTTGGGTTAGCAGCTTGGGTGTACTCCTGAAGCCTGAGCTCTCAGTTGTATCTCAGGTAGATTCTGTTGCCAGGAGAGCTTTCTACAAGCTTAGGCTGGTTTTTCAGCTGCATCCCTACTTGGATGAGTGGAGCCTTACCACAGTTATTCATGTACTGGTAAGCTCACACCTGGATTACTGTAATGGGCTCTACATGGGGCTGCCTTTGAAAATGATCTGGACTTTTCAACTAGTTCACAACAGGGCCATGGGGCTATTGACAGGGACTGGTTTGTGTGAACATACCATGACAGTCCTTTGCAAACTGCATTGGCTGCTGGTTGCCATCCGTGCCCAACTCAAAGTGCTGATCTGAACACACAAAGTGCTGATTTTAACACAGGTTGAAGTCAGATTATCTGAGGGAACACCTACCTCCATATGTTCCCACCAGATCACTAATGACTTCACCAGAGGCCCTTCTGTGTGCTTCTCGCCTAAAGATGGGAGGGGGGCAGGTGTCTAGAAGGAGGCCTTCTCTGTGGTGGCACCCTACCTCTGGCATTCACTTCCTATTAAAATTTGCCAGGCAATATCTCTTCTATCTTTTCATCACCAACTGAAAACATTCCTCTTCTTGAGTTATTTTGCTGATTAATCTGGCTTTAATAATAGGTCTTGAATTTGCTGTTGCCTTTATGAATTGAACAACCAGATCTCTTTTTTAATTTGATTTTTTAAATTATTTTATTATTGTTTGTTTATGATTTGGCTGTCTGATCTTATTCTATTGTTTTAACTTGAATTGTATTTTAACTATTTTATTGTTGCGCCTTTGATTGTAAGCTGCCCAAAAAGCCTTTCTGGCTAAGGGTGCAGCATATAAATTCAATCAATAAATCAATCAATAAAATAAAAATCAAACTTCCTTTAATTGTGCACTCAGTGGAACAACTATAGAACATTCAGGAAAATCAAGGGGCATAAATAACTTTTTCACTTAAATGATCCTGTGAAGAAAGTGTCTAGAGGACACCTGCAGAATACAATTTGTCATCTTCCAGTTCCAGATTGTATAATTAAACAAAATGGTCAGCAGAATTAAAAAGAACAAATGATAACCAACTTTTTTGTCTGAAGTGAAACAACCCATACAGATCAGACCAGCTGTTTCCTGAGTATTTCCCTTAACTTGGACAGGAAAAGATTTTGCAATATCCCTCTTCATGCATTAAAAATATGCATTTCTGTGGTGGATTACAGTTGCCCTCTCCAGGGTGTCACCTCAAATTCAGTCATACTGATCTGCTGTACTAAGATGGGTTTTTTTGTTTTATTACAAGTAAAGATAATTATAATTTTAACACAAAAAATTGACAATTTTAACAAAAAGCCATTGCCAGCAAGATTGCAGTTACTAAATGGAAATAATTTTCAGCCATGCTATCAGTATTTGCTTTGAATATTGTATATAAAGACAAACATAGCAAAGATGAATCTGTCAGTTTGGTTTTGGCTCAGTTTCTTATTTTTTCAAAACTTATGTTCATTTAGTCCCATTTCCACATACATTAAAAAAGCCCTACAAAAATGTATATATATTTTGTGAATACTTCTAATATATGTTTTTCATATGTAAATTTCCCATATCTCTATATATCTATATAGCAATATTTTTCCTGGCATAATGCAGTTTTGGACATCATTTCCATTAATTCCACTCCAATTTCAATTGGACATCTGTATTACAAAAGTCAGAAAAGTATGGATATTGAAGTATGATTGTGTTTTGTTTTACATCTTGGTTCAGAAAGTGAGAATTAGGTAAGTTCAGAATGAAATAATTTCCCCCTAAGCTTAGGCAAGAATCAGGACAAGGAATTGTTGATAAAAGTGACCATTACCTGGGGAGTCATTTAGACTGAAGGCAATTCGTATTGGTTTATCAGCAGGTACCCGGGCTGTGGTGATCATGTGGGCACTTGAGCCTATGCGTTTACTTATGTGTTCCAGCTGTAAAATATAAAGATCACATATTTTTATGGGTCCTGAGAACCCACCACAATGCAATTTAATGCTCTTCAAATATTTTCAGTTACATTTCTGACAGAGTCCTTTCTCACTTTCAGGAATGATGCCAAGCATAATTAAATGCAAGTACAATCACGTTTATTGTTATTTCATAGAGTAAGGTCCACAATGTGGTGGTAATATCCCCAGATAAGAGTTCCCAGCAAATTTGAGTCTCCCATTTAAAAATTTCATGCCAAGAGACATTTCAAATGAACCAAGGCCAGCCCTAATATAAAACAGAGTGAAGGAGCAAGTTCAGGCTGCAGGTCCTGGCGACCAGTAGTAACAGCCTCCCAAATGATACCTCTGGCTGTTTCTCTCTGTTGTGACTATACCACATAGTTTTCGTGCCTTGGGATAAAAATTAGCCCAATGTCCCAGGAAGGGAGGAGTTTGCTATCTTATCACCAATACTCAAGTAAAATTCAGAGGCGAAGACTCCATTATGCAATAGAAAGGAGCAACAGAGTGAAAACAACAACAACAAAAATCAAAGACATAGGATTTTGGCATAAGATAGTTCATGACTTGGTCTGTTAGTTTTCCTTGCAAGGTCAGCATTGGCATTTGGCCCACACTAAGGAAGCTGTCTTGACCTAGGTTGGATTTGGGTCTATCTAGATCATGGGTAAAATGTGTCCCTTAGGCTTCATGCATCTCCTGGGCTTTATGCATCCCCTTTCCTCTTTTGCCACTACCAAAGGGTCACTCCTATTAAACAGCTACCCAATCTTGGCTGTGGTAAGTAAAAAACTTGCATTTTCACTTCAAAACAAGGATTTTTGATACAAACTCCCACAAGGCTTCCTGGAGCAAAATTTAAAATGTGCACATGCTGTATAATTTGTTTTAAAGCCAAATGTGCCTTTTTTATTGCTGCTGAAATTTGACAGGGGGAGGCCAGGGTTAGTATTTGGCCTGGGAATCCTTAAGAGTTGCTTACCCCAACTCGGCCAAGGTCTCCCAAAGTGCTTCCTCCAGATGTGTCTGACTGTAATTCCTATCCTCCCAGCCAGCGTGGAGGTTCTGTCCCAATCCTGTCACCTACATTCCTTTTAATTAGAGGTGCTGGGATGTGGTAGCATTACCATCAACTTGTGGGGTTCAGCCCACTATTACCATTTCACCAAGAGTTAATTGTTGCATAATCTCTAGAAACAACATCTTGAGCCAATAGAATGCATTTCAACTAGTAGCCAACTTTCATTATTTATTTTTAGTCAAACAGATCGGGGTTGGTAACCTGACTGATTTTATAAGGTCCACCATCTTTCTTTACTTGTATGAACCAGTTCTAAACAGGCTTTACCAAATCCTAAGCTTCCCAAATAGTTATTGCAACCAGATAGCCTGGTTTGTTTAGAACATTGTTCCACTCAATGGCTTTATCCAATCTGAGTGAATCCTGCATGACCCAATGTTCAAAGCCAGTGATTCCTATGTAAAGTCCCCACCCCACAAATCTAGAACTTTATGATTGTAGCTTATGAGAGTTTGCACCATAATGTATCAGTGAGTTCTTTAAGAAACTCAGGACTTGGTTGTTTTCACTAACCCTAACCCAAATACTTGGTCTCAAGAAAACTATGGAGTCAGTTAAAATCCATATTCTACTATTTCTCTGTATTGCATTTAGTTGGTGGAACACAGCTTGCCACCACCCTCAAGCACCTCCAAATAGTCCCATGACCTGATTAGGTGCTGCCAGACAAGGCAAAAGCAGGGCTGTAGCCAAGTGCTGGTGCAGCTACTTTGCAATTAGAAGAGTGCAGGTTTAATTTATGGCTTCTCCAAGAAGAGTTGGAAAAACTTCTGCCTAAATTGCTGGAGCAGAGTGCCAGTCAGTCAATCTCTACAGAACCTCTTGCAATACCAGGCTACATGGACTGAGGTGTGACTCAGTATAAGACGTGTTTCTAAGGCTTTTATCATACAATAACCCTATCTCATTCATGGAATACATTGAGGAGGAAGAGGAAGATTAGTTGTACAATGCCTTTTGGTTGACAGTACTAGGAACTGTTTGTCTGGAAGCATCCTTATATATGTCACAGTACATGGTGGGAAAATGTGTTCAGGCAACCATTGATTGCAATGGACATGCTTTTACTTCCAAGTAAAGGTGATGAGGATTGTGGGAGAGGGGGAAGCTTGTTTGCGCATGTCTCTGTGTTTTGATGTTTTTGGCTTCTACTTACAGAGTCACTGTACTTGTAAAAGTTTTGCTGGAGGCAGAATTTCATCAAACAGTAGTTCATATTGTTTTCCTTCATTGATAGACAACAATATTCCTTCTATGTAACTCTTAAAATTACAACAGCTTTCTGAAAGACCAGATATGACAATACTATGGGCTTTAAGAAACCTATTTTTAAAAGACTGCAAGAACTAGCCTCCATGAATTTCACATCTTTAACAGTTTGTTTGACCAGGCATTAATTTGGCCTGTTCACACCTATTTTCCAAGCTACCTTGTTCCCTCAGCATTATCTAGAAACAGTATTTGTGAATGCTACCCTAGTTGTGAAAAGGATTTAAGCCTGTGCTTAAACTAGGGAGTACTATCATTTGTGGATGACACATTAATTGAATTTTAAGCTCCAGGAGAAATAAAATTGAACATTATGTGATCAACCCATAGGAATGATTTAAAATTCGGTACCCTGCATTGCTGACTTATGCAACACTTAGCTTTCCATGTCTACAAAAGCACAAGTAATAAAAGAGTTGTTTGGGAATGAGTGCAATGACGCCCTTGTATCTCCCATTTCTTTCAGATATTGGAAGATTATCATGCCAGTGCCTACATCTGTCAATATTAGCTGAATAAACACAGGTTTAAACAGTGGCGATTCTGAAGAGAACTTGCCAAAAGTCTTCTTTAACTGATCCTACAGCTTTGTTAGTTTTACATAAATGGATTTGGGAATTTACTTTTATATTCTATAACAAAATTTGAATTCAAGCTCTTTTGTTAAATTTGTAGGCTGTTGGGGCTGTAAAAGAGTATTCCTTAATACTTCAAACTTAGAATAAACTTAATTATTAAAATCAACTTTATATTATATTAGCTACCCTGCATTCTTTTTGAGGAAGGATGGGATATAAATCTCTAGATAAAAACATATAGTAATCTTGAGTAGAAAAACTACTTTATTATGTTTTATTTGCAAGATACACATATTTGAGTTGGTACTGATACAACACCCAATTGTAATGTATAACAAAAGAAAGAGAAACAGGAAAGAATGCTTCTACATAAAAACCTAGTCATCTTTTGGGCAGCATGCTTCACGTAATATAAAGGCACATTAACAAATGATCAAGCTATTACACATTTTAAAAAACCCAGATTTGGGGGGGGGTTAAAACCCTAAAATTATAGTTATAAAGTTTCTTTTTGGTGTGGGGGAGGGGCATTATTTTATCCTAGTCATGTAAAGGTTCACTTTTCGAAGAAATGTTTTTGTTTACTTTTCTGTTTTCCAGAAAGACAGCCACCTTTCCAGTACACAAATTAAAGATTTAGTTTTCTCTGTTTCTTTACTGTGTGTCTACAAAATTTAAAAAAGTTCTTCCTCCCAGATAAAAGAAGCAAGATGAAACCATACAAGACAGGATAGAAATTTCATTCACACCCCTCACTGTATAAATCCCCTCAAACAAAAGAAATTAAGTAAGAGTTGCTTCAAGTATCCCATTTGCTTTCTCAACTGACTGAAGCCGAAAGCTTTGAATTTAATAAGATGCCTCCAAAGATTCACCAGAAAACAGCTCTTCTGTCAGATCGCCTGTGAAACGGGGGGGTTCTTCCCATATATATGTCTATATGTATATACGCACACACAAAATCTGCACCAGAATGCAAGTTAAGTGTGGTTACAACTCAATCAGTTAGTCCAGTTTTCACACCTGTTGCCTTACCTCACTTAGTAGTGTCTGCACTTGTATAATCCAGGGCCAGCCACTGCCTTGGCTTGTCGTTGCCTTTATGGAGTACAGATTCAATAAAAGAAAAGGCTGCACCTGCTACATAGCAGCGAACTGACAAGGTCTGAGAAGTTGAAACAGCTGTCAGGGCAACATGCTGCTACCTGCACTTCCCATAGGCTTTTCAGTCCCTCAGGACCACCCTTTTCCGTTTTCCTTTACAATTCCACCGTCCCGTCCCGTCCCGTCCCTTCCTTTCCAACAATGAGGGATTACAGTGCTGTCATGCTTCATGGGGCAAAAAATCCTTCCATCGGAGGCATTATTAAAGCAGCAAACTGTCAAGAGTCCAAGATGTTTAATTCATTAGTCCTGCCAAACCTAAAATACAAACAGACTTGCTTCATAGGACTGGAATGTTTTCAGCATGACCCAATCAGTGTCTGTGTCTATTCCAGCAAACGGGAAAAGATAGCCTGACTCCAGTCAGCAAAAATGTCTGCGGCTCCAATCAGCTTGGGGTGACATTGCCAACTTGAACAGGCTGCAAGCAAACTATCAAATGATTGCTGCCGCTGCTATCAAAGCAAAGAACTAGGTTAGAAGTTTGCTGCTTTGGTCCAGGCTTGGTAAAATGATACTATCCAATAAATTAGATGATAGACCTGCAGCTTTAAAAGAGACAATGGGCTATTCTTAGACACAGTATATATTAAGAATCTAAAAATATTTTCTTAAGGTATATTGTAGAATACGCATGATATATTCTCCTAAAGTTGTATAATTTACAACTGATTATTTTGTGTGAATAGTAGAAGAGTTGACAAAAAGCTCCAGTTAATTAGCTGCATAGTCAAATCAAACCATTTTCAATGTTGGTACATTGGGATCTACCTTTTCAAACATCAGCACTCAAATTCAAATATACTTTTATCTCTTTTCCCAATGAGTGTCACTGCTTGAAAGATACAGAACAATATCTGTATTATTAAAGATATGCCCCTGCAGTAGTTTTCAGTTTGACTGCAGTTTTGCAGTCTAGAGCATTTGTCATAACGCATATTATCCCTATAAAACATGCTTTACTTCCAAGCACTGAAACTGATTTTGTATTCTTTGATGTAATCATTATTTTTCATGTAATCTTATATTTAGAAATAAGTTGCACTGAGTTCAATGTGTTTTTGTTCTTGGTAAGTCAGTAAACTTACAAAGGAATGTAGCCTTTGAGAACTAGGTTTGATTATTTTTTCATAGAATCATAGAAAATAAGAGTTGGAAGGGGCCAAGAAGGTCACTGAATCCAACTCCTGCTGTTGCAGGTCAGCAATTTGCACCATCCTGCTCAGATGACACCCCAGTTTCTAGTGTGGGAGAGCCCATGACTTCTCTAGGCAGCTGGTTCCTCTGTCCTTTTGCTCTGACAGTGAGGAAACTTTTCCTGATATCTAGCCTGAATCTGGATTGTCACAACTTCATCCATGTCCTACACTCTGATGTAAGTGAAAAGAGATCTTGACTGTTCTCTTTGCAACAGCCTTTGAGGTACTTAAAGAGTGAAATCGTGTCCTCCCACAGTCTTTTCTTCTCAGGGCTGAACAAACCCAGTTTTCTCAGTCTCTACTCATAGGGAAGTGTTTCCAAACCTTGGATCATTTTTGTTGTCCTCCTCTGGATTCTTTCTAATTTTTCTGCATCCTTCTTAAATATTGGTGCCTGTAACTGACACAGTATTCCAAATGAGACCTGACTAATGAGGAGAAAAGAGGAACAACTACTATTCATGATTTGGAAGTAACACTCCTATTAATGCATCCCAAAATAGCATTTCCCCTTTTTGTAGCTGCATTGTGCTGTTGGCTCAAATTTAACCTGTTGTCCTCATTAATCCAAGGTCCTTTTCTTTTTCAGTTCTGTTGAGCCATGTATTCCCCATTGTTTTGATGCATTTGGTTACTTTTTTTCTAGGTGGAGGACTTGGCACTTGTCCCTATTGAATCTCATTCTGTTGCTTGCAGCCCAATGTTCAAGTTTACCAAGATCTCCCTGGAGTTTCATTCTGTATTTTAGCTATTCCACCAGTTTTGTATCATCTGCAAATGTGATTATCCTTCCTTGTACTTCCTCATCTAAATCATTAATAAAAATATTGAAGAGCACTGGGCCCAGGACTGAACCCTGAGGCAGCCCACTAGTTATCTCCCTCCACTTTGAGAAGTTGCCATTGATGAGCACTTTCTGTGTCTGATTTAGCAACCAATTTTGAATTATCAAATTTTGGATTATCATGACTATCATTCTGAAAATATTTTTGTAAAAACATTTAAAATATCTATATATCATTTTTCTTAATCTCATACTAAGTGTAGTTGTAATACTCTTCCCACTTCTGTGTACTGCCTGGTAGAAAGTTTTTGGAGCAACTTTACAACAACAGTTTCCAAGTGAAATGATAGAACTAGAGACTGAAGGTGTTTTGTAATATTTATTTGTTTAGACATGCACAGGTTAAACAGGGAAACCCAGGCAGATTTTTAGGTAATGCTAGTCTTGAAATAATAGTTTCTCCACAAAGTGGCAGCATAATTTTGAAGCTTTGCAAGACTGTGTTTTGCCAGGTATGCACAAAATTCAGGCTTCTTTGTCTAGTTGAGTCTGAAATGCACAGCCTCTTCGCTGAGCAGTTGCCTAAGCAAATGAGGTTGTGGCACAAATTCCTGCAGTTTGGAGGAGCTACTAGGCTGTTAAGGAAATAGTCACAAGTTATACAGTACAAAAATGTGGGGAGAAAATACTTGCTTTGTTTTGCATAATTTAACATAAGAATGCCTTACTCCTTTTCTGTTGGCACAGTCATTTAAATAGGCATTAAATTATAGCCTTTCTTTTGTGTTTCCCCCTGAAGAATAGTGCTGACAATCCCATATCCAACAAGTTAAGTAGCGATGTACAGAGGGTGCAGCCTTCAAAACAGAGGACTCTATCCAATTATTTATGCTCAGGAGGATACATAGGCCTGGCTCTCACAACTGAGAGCCCCCCATAGCTTATTTATGGAATGCGCTCCCCAAAGAGGTCCACCTGGTGCCAACATTATACTCCTTCCAGTGTCAGGTAAAGACCTTTTTATTTAACCATCATTTTAACAATTAAGGGTTTTAGACGGTTTAAGATTTTTTTGTTTTCTTCTTGTTTTCACAGTTGGACTTCCTATTTTATTTTTCCTTTCTTATTTTTTATTTTATAATGTTCAATTTTAGATGTTTTAATAAGTGTGGTTTTATTATTGTATTTTTGGAATTTTATACTATGTAGGCCATCCTACCCAGTGCTTGTGCAGAAGGATGGGATACAAAAGCTTGTAACAATAAATAAATAAATAAATAAATAAATAAATTTATTCAGTGGGGGACCACAATTTATTGTGACATCTGAACCTGGAGCAGGGTGGGTTGCAGCCATGGTTAATAAACTACCCTTAATCCCTGCTAAAGAGTGCCTGCAGTTTTTCAAATACTGCTTCATACCACCTCTTTCAAGGGACACACTTCCAGGGAAAAGAACAGGAAATACCAAATCACTGCTTTGTCAAGTGCTAGCCACCTATCAGTAAAGGCACATGGTGAACTGAACTTGTCATGAGTTGATCTCCATCTCAGTTTGAATATTGACTTGTGAGATCACATCAAGGAAAAATTCTGAAAAGGGGATGAATCAAAACACAATGAGTTACGTGCTCATTGCATGTCAATACATTTAGGGCGTACTGTAAGATACCAGCATTGTCGACAAACATAGACAAGGAATTGCTGATCCATGCAACAACTATACTGAAAAAGCAAATGCATTTATTTATTTTCTGAACACTTGACTGGCAGAATGCAGCTGTCATGTTCCTATGTAAAAAGGTAGATGCCTAATCCCATGTTGAAAATATAACTGTGTTCCATATTCAAATATTTATCTCCTAAACCAGGCTGAAAGAATTACATAAGGATTTTCACACATTCCCAAAGACATCCTTCGCTTTTTTATTGTTATCCACCTAAATGGTACCTTTAATCTATTTTCAGAGATTATTAACTGCTGAGGGAAGCAAGTTACCCAACTGGGCAAAGGGACAACACATACCTAGAGGACTTGAAGCAGATTTAAATGAAAGTTCCAGGACTTTACACAATGAGCAGCCATCCGGAAATACTGCTGTATTTATGACTAGGGTGGCAGTCAACATAAGAGCAGAGTGGCTATGTCAGATAAATGATCTGTCTATGGATAGGGGGAGGTGAAAAGCACAGGGCAATGCTAAGTATGTCATTCTCTAATATTCTTGTTGCATTTATCTCTGTGGGCAAATCAGGTTGATCTAAAGCACGAAGACACGCCATTTGGCTCCCGTTTCCTTTTCTCCTTTAGGCTCTTGGACTGGGTGACACCGCTTGGGAATACATTGTACCAAAAGGTTATAGATGGGATTCATAACCACTGGCCCAATTAGAAGTAAGTATTTCGGCCCTATTCAGACATTCTTTATTCATGTAGAATAAACTTACCAAGAGAAGGAACACTCAAACCACCCCCTCCTCCTCATGAGTTCCTATTTCCCTGCATTTGTGGAGGGTCATTTTCTAAAGACTGGAGCTCTTACATCTGGTAAGGCTTTCCACATCATTGAGAATGTTAAGAAAATCATGAATTCCCCCACAGGGCCTAAAACAAAAGCAAAGACCTCCATTGATTCCAGTGGATTTCCCCCCTCTTTTTGAAATCTGCAAACCAGGGGTGGGGGCAGTTTGGGAAGCAAAGGGGTGGGGAAAAGGGTTAATCTTCCCCTTCAGTGCATGCTGAGCCTGATCCAGACCAAGGCAGTGCATGATTACTCTGAAGGAACCAAAAGATAATGTTTAGCTGTACCCTACACAATTCCTGTAACCTTTAGTTTGACCCTGAGGCTGATCTAATGGCAGAGCTAACCCTGTGTATAATATTCATATACTGTGTCTTTTCATTACAGCTGGGATCCATTTTGAATCTTATTTGATGCAGTACTGGATACTTTAACAACACTTCTGGGTTCTCTGTGTCCATTGCTGTGTATTTTAAATGCCTGGAAAGAAAGATGCAGGAAGGGCTCTTAAATTCCTTTAGCTCTTAATCCCATGTGTTGTCCTGAAATCAGTACATAGGAAGGATAGTCATTCCCAGATTAAAAGAAAAAAGAGTACATCCTGCTTGTGAAAACCATTGCAGAGTAGGGCTATGAGAAAGGCAGAATGCTGATAAGCCCTCTTGGTTTTCTTCAGGAACATTGGCCATGGCGTTGTGCCCTGTTTCCTGCCAAAGTGCTCTAGTCATCCAATGTTTGGTACCAGAGCAAAATTCTT